CCAACATGGCAGAAAAAGGTGTATTTGAGCCATGAGATTCTGGCAGAAAAAGCACCTTTGTGCAGACTAGTGCACAAAGTGCACTAGTCTGGGGGGGGGGGTAGGTCCGCTTCAGGAGGTTACGGGAGGTCACAGTCAGGTCTTGAGGGCAAGTAGTGGGAGGTGCAACAGTTGATGATGCCCAACAATACTCACAGCTTCCATGGTGATGAAGTTGTATGAAATTCCTTCATATATCCTTAACATATGTTGTTGAATATGACCGAAAGAGTAATATTAATGATTCTAACACGAATCTTCATAATATTTCTAACGTTTTTCTTCACTGTCGAGGATAATTGAAAAGTTAACTTTCCAAAGTTCATTTTCACATTTTTATTTATAGTGTGATGCCTAGAAGTGTTTCGCAAGAGACTGCTCACATTTTCCAAGACAAATTTTATGTACTCCATTTCATGCAAATATTTGTTATTGGGTGAGGTGATGTGACAAATGTTTTTGGGTAAGGTGATATGACAAATGTTTTTGGGTGAGGTGATAAAACACAAACCAATGGGTAAAGATAATTTTACATAGTCAGAACACGAATCAATGGGCACATTGCGTATTTTCTCTTCTTGCTTCTGTGTTGGTTCGGGATCTTGAAGTGGATAGAATGCAATTATGTGTTAATTGGCTGTTGACTGCTGGTGTTGACTTTTTGATGTTTAGGGCCTCGCTGATTTCGAGTCTTCTACTGTCGCTGTATCTATCGATAATTTCTGTGTTGCTTGTTAAGATTTCTCTGGTGATGTTCTGGTTGTGTGAAGAGATTATATGCTCCTTGATGGAGCCGTGTTGTTTGTCCATTGTTAATCGCCTAGAGAGAGACGGTGTTGGCTTGCCTATATACTGAGATCTTTGGAGCTGTCAGTCCCCCAAGGGGGCATGTGAAGGCATAGGCGACGTTGGTTTCTTTCAAGGCGTTCTGTTTCAAAAACAACAACAACATACATGTACATACATACATACATATATACATATATATATATATATATATATATATATATATATATATATATATATATATATATATATATATATATATATATATATATTATATATATATATATTGGTGTATACTGGCAGCAGGTTTTCTTTCAAACATGTTTCATTGAATATGACCGCATATTCTGTATTTATTCAATTTAAAAATCAATTCTCCAAAATTTATTTTTATTTCTAGTCTGACGCGACACTTGAACGCGTTTCGTAATAACTTATTACATTTTCAAAAACTTTAGTTTACACACACACAACTATAACCTGCAAACACTAAACAGAGTTTAAACAGCTTTCATTTTATACCTGCATTTGGGTGAGGTGATATGTTACAACAGTTTTGGATGAGGTGAAAACAAACTTTCAACACAAGACAGAACACGAAACAATGGGTATAATATTTTGTAAGTTAAAAGGAAGAATGGAAGTAACTGCAAAGGGCCTATTGGCCCATATTTCTTGATGCTTATATATTATAATAATAATAATAATAATAATAATTTTTATTTAGGCAAAGGTACATACATAAAGAGATTTTACAAAGTTTGTTGGCTTTATAGATAGAGCTAGTACATACAATGCCTAAAGCCACTATTACGCAAAGCGTTTCGGGCAGGAAAAAACACTACTGACTAAAGCTTAAAACTAATGGGTAAAAAGAAAAAAATGCGTTGAGTACAAATAAAAATAGGGGTAAAAGAGGAGGGAACATTGTTGAAAAAACAGCACAAATACAATTACAAATTATTACAGAAAATTACATTAAAACAGCGTTGATTTGAAAAACAAAAAAAAAACAAAAAACATACATGGGTTGACAATAGAGGGGTAAGGTAGGTTACAGGGAATTTATTAGGTATAGCTTCGTTTTTAACTTAAACTGGTTGAGAGAGGTACTGTCTTTAACATGGTTGGGAAGGTCATTCCACATTCTGGGCCCCTTGATTTGTAGAGCATTTCTGGTTTGATTAAGTCGTACTCTAGGAATATCAAAACTGTATTTATTTCTGGTGTGGTGCTCATGGGTTCTGTTACAACCTTCTATGAAGCTTTTGAGATCAGGATTGGCATTACAGTTTAGCGTTTTATATATGTATAATACACATGAGAGAATGTGCAGTGACTTAATGTCTAACATATTCAGGGATTTGAGTAGGGGTACCGAGTGATGTCTGGGGCCAGAATTGGATATTGTCCTAATAGCAGCTTTGTGTTGAGTAATTAGAGGACGTAAGTGATTTTGGGTAGTAGAGCCCCAAGCACAAATACCATAGTTGAGATATGGATAGATAAGGGAGTAATAGAGAGTCACCAGGGCAGGGCGTGGTACATAATATCTGATCTTAGAAAGAATGCCCACAGTTTTTGAAACTTTTTTTGATATGTTTAGAATGTGTCCCTGGAAATTCAGCTTGTGGTCAATGAGAATGCCAAGGAATTTGCCATCTAATTTGTTACAAATTTGGGTATTGTTTATTTTGAGATTTATTTGATTAGAGGATTTATTGCCAAACAGAATATAGAAAGTTTTGTCAATGTTAAGGGTGAGTTTGTTGGCAGTTAGCCACAGATGGACTTTATTTAGCTCAGTATTTACTGTGGCATTTAGAGCAAGGGGATCAGGACTGGAGTAAATGAAGGTTTTGTCGTCAGCAAATAGGATTGGTTTGAGGTGTTGGGAGGCATTTGGAAGGTCATTAATGTAGATGAGAAAGAGGAGAGGGCCAAGTATGCTGCCCTGGGGAACACCAATGTTGATGGGTAGGGTGGGAGAAATTGTATTATTCACAGAAACACATTGGAGCCTGTCAGTAAGGTCGGATTTGAGGTATTGTAGGGAGTGTCCTCTGACACCATAATGATGTAATTGGTGCGGAGTCTTGAAGTGGGTAGAATATAGTTGTGCATTAATTAGCTGTTGATTGCTGGTGTTGACTTCTTAATGTGTAGTGCCTTGCAGATCTCAAGCCACCTGCTATCGCTGTATCTATCGATGATTTCTGTGTTTTTTGTTAAGACTTCTCTGATGATGGTCTGGTTGTGGGAAGAGATTATATGTTCCTTAATTGAGCCCTGTTGCTTATGCATCATTAATCGCCTGGAAAGAGCTGTTGTTGTCTTGCCTATATAATGAGTTCTTTGAGGCTTACAGTCCCCAAGTGGGCATTTGAAGGCATAGACGACATTGGTCTCTTTTAAAGTGTTCTGCTTTGTGTCTGGAGAGTTTTTCATGAGTAGGTTGGCCGTTTTCTTGGTTTAATAGTAAATCGTCAATTGTATCTTCTGATTTTTGTCTGTAGGGATAACGTTTCTATTAACAATATCTTTCAGGACCCTTTCCTCCATTTTATGAGCTGTGGAAAAGAAGTTCCTGTAAAATAGTCTAATAGGGGGTACAGGTGTTGTGTTAGTTGTCTCTTCAGAGGTTGCATGGTGTTTCACCTTCCTTCTTATGATGTCTTCAACGAAACCATTGGAGAAGCCGTTGTTGACTAGGACCTGCCTTACCCTACAGAGTTCTTCATCGACTTGCTTCCATCCTGAGCTGTGGCTGAGAGCACGGTCGACATAAGCGTTAACAACACTCCTCTTGTACCTGTCTGGGCAGTCACTGTTGGCATTGAGGCACATTCCTATGTTTGTTTCCTTAGTGTAGACTGCAGTGTGGAAACCTCCCCTCCTTTCCATGACTGTTACATCTAGAAAGGGCAGCTTCCCATCCTTCTCCATCTTGTAAGTGAAAGTAAGTAAGTATATATATATCTATATATAAATATATATATATATATATATATATATATATATATATATATATATATATAAATATAAATAAATATATATATATATATATATATATATATATATATATATATATATATATATATATATATATATAGAGAGAGAGAGAGAGAGAGAGAGAGAGACATCTCCTCTAATGTGTTATGCATGGTTTCCTCCGAGGCTATGGGTTCCCCTTGTTCCAGCCAGAGGGTATTTATTATTTATATATATATATATATATATATATATATATATATATATATATATATATATATATATATATATATATATATATATATATATATATATATATATATATATATATATATATGTGTGTGTGTGTGTTTACTAGTTGTGTTTTTGTGGGGGTTGAGCTTTGCTCTTTCGGCCCGCCTCTCAACTGTCAATCAACTGTTTACTAACTACTTTTTTTTTTTTTTTTTTTTCCACACCACACACACACACACACACACACACACACACCCAGGAAGCAGCCCGTGACAGCTGACTAACTCCCAGGTACCTATTTACTGCTAGGTAACAGGGGCACTTAGGGTGAAAGAAACTTTGCCCATTTGTTTCTGCCTCGTGCGGGAATCGAACCCGCGCCACAGAATTACGAGTCCTGCGCGCTATCCACCAGGCTACGAGGCCCCTCATCTGAAGATGTATTAATATACGAAAGTACTTAAGGAAATTCCTGTTTTAATTTTCCTCCGTGGTCTGACATTGTCATATATATATATATATATATATATATATATATATATATATATATATATATATATATATATATATATATATATATATATATATATATATATATATATTACATAATATGTACTTCATTAGGCCTCAGATAGTGTTCATTAGGACTAGGATGATTAGGGTAGTTCATATTAGCAAAGTTCACTAATACAAAGATGTTCTTTCTGGTGGTCCATCACGTCATATGTGACCTTTCGGCCACATCGTTACTATAAATACTTTCCTTTTAGACTGCTAGGCTTGAGCAATGCAGGGCCTAGACGCTCCAAGGCCAGATCACACACCAACCATGGAGCAACAACCTGCCTATGAATCCCTACATTAAAATTCAAATAAGTCTGCATAAGTAATAACTTTAGTAATAATAAACTAAGCCATCTTCCCTTTGTAACGACACAATAATACTTCAGATCAGTGCCATCCTGAATATCATCAACTTCATACGCATCGCGATTAATGGGACGGCGCACCAACTGGCTCACCAACTCTGCTCTGGCCAAACTCATAGTGCAGAAGTATTCACCGAGTGTGCACACCTGATGCTGAATTTGAGTATGTATACGAATTCCTGACCCCTTGATTCGTTTATGGTACATTTTGTATTCATTTCCATATTGATGGCTATGTTCTGGATTAGCTACCATAATATGTTTAATATATGCTGTAATATGCAACATGATGTGTCATTATGCAATAATATGACATATTAACTGAAATATAGTGTTCTACAGAATATGACATAATATATGCATTATACACCATAATGGGCTGATATGTGTAGAATAATATATCATAAATAAATAAATAAATAAATGTTTATTTAGGTAAGGTACATACATACAAGAGATTTCACAAAGTTTGTTGGATTAATAGATAGAGCTAGTACATGCAATGCCTAAAGCCACTATTACGCAAAGCGTTTCGGGCAGTTTCGGGCATATACATCATATTGTATATGCCATGTCATGTACTATAATTACCCGAATATGTTGCCCAATGAATCATAAATGTGACAATGAATTACAAAGTGATAAAATGAATCATGGTATATGATGAAATATAATCACAAGACTATCAAAGAATCGATAATGGTACAATGGATCAATAATGGTACAATGAATCAACAATGGTACAATGGATCAATAACGGTACAATGAATCAATAATCGTACAATGGATCAATAATGGTACAATTAATCAATAATGGTATAATGAATCAATCACTGAATCAATATATGTTAACGTAATCATAATATGTGATTAAATGAATCATAATGTAAAAATGAGTATAATTTGGGCTATAATGATGTGAGATGTTATTTGTCATAATAGGTGCTTCTCTGTATCCAGCAAGTTGTGCCATTGCATGTCATAAGACATGTCATATTATGTGTCATAATGTATTACAAATAATATGTGCTGTGATATAAACTACAATATGTGTTACAATAAATGCTATAATTGTGCCATGCTGTGTGTTATATATTATAAGTTGTCATTATATAGGCCATTATATCATAATATAGAAAATATATTATAATCACATTAAGACATATGTGCAATATAATATTATATTATAATAATATAATATAAAACGCATATGTGATATTATAATATTATCACATATGCATTATGTACTCACATTATAGCATATGTGATACATTGTATCACATGTAACAATATTTGCTTTAACGTATCATAAAACTAGACTGAATGTCATAATATACATTACAATATGTTTCTTGTCATAACATGTGTTGTAATGTATCATAATATGTGCTACAATATGTGTCATGCCATGATATGTGTTGTAAGAGCCAAACGGAGAGGGCCAGGAGAGCCAAACCCTGAGAACTCAGGAGACGATTTGCATGAAGCGACCAGCCCCAAAGAGCCAAGGACTACATCGAATGCCCACGATTCAGGCAATGAACCATCGGGGAGCAGTCCGAGTGGAGCCAGATCGTCGATCCGCGAGCGACCCGAATGCTCCAAAGTAACATCCATACAGCTGCAAACTCCCGCACCGTGCTGTGTGCCCGACAGAAGGACGGACCCCACCGTCCCTGGTGAGTCACAAAGCCCCAGCCAAGAGACGACGCGTTCATGAACACATCGAGCAAGGCACTGAACCCTTAATAGCCCAAAGAAAAAGCTGGCGACGCAGCCGACCTAAGGCACTCGGAGACCAAACCCAGCGATCACGAGAGAGGCAGAAGGGACGTCCCCGAATGAACCAGAACAGCCGACGAAGCCAAACCCGATCCAGCGGGTTGACCATTACGGCAAAGTTCAGACTCCCACACAAACCCTCGAGCAACCACTTCTTGACCCCAGGAGCCTTCCAAGAAACAGGCGAATTCGGGGCCTTAGCGACACCAGAGCCTCCAGAGTTAGAGAAAAAGAAGTGGACCAAGAGTCCCAAACAAGACCCAGCCAAGACCGAACCTGAGAGGGACCCAGATGGGACTTCCTCCAGTTCACCAGGAACCAAAACCCAGCGAATAGGGAAAGAACCAAATCCCTGGCGAGCAGACGAAACCCCTAAGAAACGCAGACAGGCCACCACGTCCCGGGTAAGGCATGTGAACACACAGGTGCCAGATCCAAGGTGACTGAATGTTACGGCCCTATTGGGTCGCAACTGGGGTTCTTCTCTGATGTTAGTCGAGTTTGGGTATCCGGCCCCAAGTTAGTAGTGGCTTTCAAGGGGTGTGTTCCATAACGCAAGTAAATTAAAGGGGAAGGGATACAAATACACCAAATTAAATATATAATTACCACCACCAATAAATAAATATATATATACTGTCACACGGGGGGTATAAATGTTCAATGTGCAGAATCATCTTCCTCTGAAGACGCGGAATGTTCCACGGTGCTCGAGACTAGTAGCCCTGGTTTTCTTCTTGTGGCCTCACGATGAATCTTTCGATTCCCTCGGCGAGTCTACCCTGGCCACAGGCCACCCAAATCACAGTCCCACTGGGTGTACCGTCGTGGAGGCCTTCAACCACAAATCCAGCCTGTAGCTGGCAGGCTCCAATCCGCTCCGCCGCATAGGCCACTCCACGACCGATACTAGGGTTGCGAGCCCTAGGCAGGAGCCTCATGTGATTCCACAGATCACTCTCCTCTCTCAACAACACCCCAGTGGCTAGTCTTCTCCACCAGTCAGCCCCGGGTACGACAATTCCTGGCTCTGCCACCTCACAGGCAGGTTAACACAACAGTGTTCATCCGGGGGGTGACTCACAGCTGCTGCAGCAAACACGTGGAGATACTATGGCTGCCTTGGGTAGACTGCCCAGCGTCCAATCCAGCAGTCCCAGGTTGACTCTGTAATCAAACACGTCATCAGTACTAGGGACACCCTAGGGCACCTCACTTACAGGCCTAGACACAAACGCCCACCTATCCACTCCATAGATGGCGTTGCTGTCTAAGCGTCACCTCACCAGAGGTCAGCAGCGGTTATGTCACGAGCTGATTAAGACGGGAAACCAGCCCCTGTGGCCGGTATATCCCGTCCTCGCTAGATGGCTTCATCCATTTGGAGGGGGTTTCGGGAGCTGACTCACAGATGGCGTGGACGTCACTGCTCCATGCTACGACGCTGGGCTCGGGTCCGTAACACTGAAAGACAATGAAAGCGGTAAGCCTGACGCCCTACAACAAAACTGAGCCAGTCCCTGAACCCCGAATGAATCGGGATGTGCCAATACGCATCTCTGAGATCCAGGAACACCATCCAAACACCTGGCTCCAAGAGAAGACGGACCTGGGACAGAGCAGACATCCGAAAGGAGAGGCAATAGACCCAGGGGTTCAAATGTGACAAGTCTAAAATGAACCGCAGGTCCGCACAGTCCCGTTTCGGAACTGGAAATAGGTGGGAAACCCACCTGAGGGGCGAAGACGTTACGACCACGCCCAAGCGAATGCACTCCAACATGACCCGACAGAGCGCAAGAGAGGAGTCCTGCTCTGACAGCCCGAACTCCCCAAATAGGGAGGGGCCACCCAACACCACCACAGGCCGCAAGAAACGACCGAAACGCCCACAAATCGTCAGACCAGGCATGGGCGAACAGCGCGAGCCTCCCTCCATCGCCCCATCAATGAGATGAACCACGAAAGAGCCAATGCCCCTTACGTGAAGCCGACCTACAAGCAGAGCAATCACAGCGTTGACCATTCGTCGTCAGTTCTGAAGTCTGCGCCGACTCCGAAACTGGCACAACTGGCCTACCACGACGGGAGGAACCCCGAAGCCCTGACACGACCCCTCTGAGAAGAACCCCCCCCCCCATGGGCCCCCAGAGAACCAAGAAGTTGGACATGGGACGACAACTCGAAGAAGCTGCTTGCAGATACTGCACCACCACAGACTCTGCAAACAGCAAAGGACAAAAAGGTGTAGAAAACCTAAGAGCCAGGGCCCAACCAGATTCCACGAAATGAGAGAGCACCACCTGCCAGCATGCAAGTTGAGAAGCCAAGAACAGAGAAACCACCACCCGCAGGATTGGCATAAACAGCTTCAACAGGGCAGCCGACACCCGCACTACCGAGAGCAGTGCACCAGACCCAAGATCGACCCCGAGCGCCTATGCGTCCTCAAGTCAGTCCGAAGACAGCTCGAGAAGGAAGAAGAAATGTAAGACCGACGTCAAATGGTCACGAGTGTGCAAGTCGTCAGCGACCAGGGCAGCCGAAAGGGATCAAACCTGCACGTGAAGCTGCACTAGGCCAACATCTCACAGAAGGGCATGGGCGAAAAACACGCATTGAGGCATTCAGACTCCATGTGTAGACCTGAACCCAGGTAAACCTAAACCACCACAAGGGCCTCTCACCACTCAAGCGTGCAGGACCGACAGAACGTATGCCATGCCCCAATGAAAAACAAGACTCTCTGCCAACCAGGACAACTCCAGAACCTCGTAATGCACCCAATAAGGAAAAGAAGAACCGAACTCGAAAGAGGAAGGATTCATTATCGAGGCATAATTCGGGTCGCACAGGAAGTAAGCTACAATGGTCTCCTGTACCTCATGAGATGAGATACAGGAGACCGAATACCTCCAGAAGAAAAGAACCAAAGTACCCAAGGGAACCTGGAACCGAACCCGGGGAGGGGTTGACGCCATATGAGATTCGTACAAGGATAAGAAAACCCACACTCCCTGCAGCAACAAGCCCCATTCAGAGGGTACCAAAACCCAAGCGGGTTCAAACAGGGGCCCAAGTCAGCCCCTCCCACGCTCCAAGAACCTCCACATAAGGATCCGGGGCAGAGTTGTCCTTCAATCCCTCTGCCTCAAAGGAAAAGGCAGAAACCGCTGGAAAAGCTGGAAGGGAGGGAGCCCACTGGTCAGACCTTGAAGCACCAGCTGGAGAAACGGGCTCGAATGCCTCCGACACCGCATCGGATGCGGCATTCCCTGAAACTGCTCGAGTCTCACCACCAACTTAACTCTGCCCCGACTCCGAAGCCCTCAGACGTTTCGGAGCCGGAAGCCTGGAGGAAAGGGGGGGAGAAACAGGTCGAACAATAGCAGGAAAAGGACTAGGGGGCGCGAAAAAAACAGAGACAAGGAGTCTAACACCCCCAAGTCCGAGTCGTTCCCTATAACCAAAATAGGGCAGCCTTAGCGGCATCCGGGTGAGCAGCCAATCTAGTGCGTTGCAGCAACCTAAAACGTGCATGCAACACCGAAGCTGCCTGCACCTGAATATCAAAATCAGTAGATTGGGTGAACTGGAGTACATGCAAGCAACACCACTTGCAGGACTCCAGGTCGAAGGTGTCACTGATCTAACAGGCAGCATGATGGAGGAACAAGCTGTGATCGTCCCCCTGAGACTAGGGGCAACCTTCAAACTCGCACGAAGCAAGATGGGATCCATGGGATGCATCCATCGGACCACTGAGCCCCAGTGGAGTTTTCCAGGGCCCTTAGATGCTCTGCTAGGGGAAGCCCAGGTAAGGTACTGCTAACCAGCACCCCAAACTACCAAGTGAACTACTAATTGCTTCAGCTGACTCCAAGGTCGGGCAATCACCGAGCAGCAAAATACCATGGTAGAGGTGGATCCCGACAGACTTGTGGAAGAGAACCTCAAGCCACAAGGGCAGTACTTACAGGGCACATAGGGAAGAGAACTCTAGGCGCATGCAGCCAGAGTACTGGTGAAAATACTCCTGGCTCGCACACCACCAACGAACAGGACCACAACCACAAGGTACAGCACTGATACAAGTCTAGAGTCAGAGCCGCACGACCGCCAGGTCTCACATCAGCCACAGAACTGATGGAACTGATGAACTGGGAAGGAAGGTGTGGCTGGTCAGCACGGGGGTCTAGGGCTCCCCCTTCCTTCTCCCGGGGAGGGGGAACTGCACAGGCGGCGGTTCAGTGACAGTTGTGACGTCATGCTCGTTTGCTCGTTTTTCGTTTTGGGAGTTCTATCCAATAGTTCGGCTTTCGATAGCAATATTTTTTAACCAGATAGTTGTTTGTTTTAGGGTGCCTACCTTTCTGGGTGCCTGATCCGGTCGATGGCAGACATAGAATACTTCCAAGCACACGGGGGTTTCAATAGGCCATTGCTCCTCGTGCCACTTTGAGGGGAACCAGGTTCTGGCTCATGGTCCCCTGGTAGGCCTAGAACTCCATCTGCTTTGACTGATGCCAGGGGTCTAATATATTCATATCAGCCCGGATAGCTCCGGGAAGCCGAAGGGGAAATGGCATCACAGATCAGTCTGCTACCTCAGACTTGTGTAGCAACCTTGTGTAACAACAAGGAGGCCTGGTCGAGGATCGGGCCGCGGGTCGCTAAGCCCCGAAATCATCTCAAGATACCTCGAAGAACCTGCTAGCAAGCTTGTGAGCTTATGCCTGTAGAGGAGTCATCCTTCCTAAGATGATGACCCTTGCAGGATTATTATCAATGAGATGACAACGAAAAAATCCAACATGATACCACAAGAAATGAGGCACGAGTATCTTGAGGAAATTTATAAAGAAGCCAGAAATGAGTTAGATCAAATCTAAACTGATGGGTCATCTAATCCTGTCAATGGCAGGGCTGGTGCAACTTACACTGTGATTAAGGCTAATGCCTTTCAATGCAGATATGAAGGAAGGAATTATCAGGAGAAAGCGCCAAGCCATTACGACTATATAGCACTGGGAAGGAGTAGAAAAAGCACATATTGAGCTCTTCAGCTCAAGCAGAGATAACTGCCATTGTTATGGCATCAAGATTCTTTGAACGAAACACTAACAGTGTTTTGTTTAAGGCAGCACTACAAAGCCTTAGTAAAAATCGGGCAGAAATTCTTGTAATAGTCGCAGAAATTAAGAGCTGTGGGAATACTATCCAATCAGGGAAGAGTTGTCAAATTTCTGTGGATCTCTTCCCATATTGGAATTTGTGGAAATGAGCGAGCAAATGTGCTCGCTGCTGAAGGAGACCATATTGAAAACTTCACAACCCAAGATTCTTCTACAAATTAGAGGTATTATCATCCAACATCACCATGACAACGTAACTGAGGAAAGAAGGGTAGAAAAACAAAATCAATGAATCTATACGCTGGTACAATATGGTTGCAGCTGGAAATCTCAATCATTATGGACGAAGAGGAATTGGCCACAGGAGTAAATCAGTAATAGCAAGAATCCATCTTTGATACAAGTATCCATGGAGATTCGGAATGGAAGCAACAGTTGAGCAGCGGAGTTGCAGAATCTATAATAATAATAATAATTTATTTAGGAACAGTATATACATAGTTGCAGCATTACAGTACAAACATTCTGTTAGATTTAAAGATAGAGGTAATACATACAATACCTAAAGCCACTAGTACGCATAGCGTTTCGGGCAATCTGTGGCGAGAGTGACGTTCACCATCTTGACCACTACCTGAGAGAATGTGAACACTAAAAGAGTCATTAAAAATATGTGTAGAATAATAAACCCCACATTGTTTGAGTTAGGAAAATACTATTTGTCAAATATAGATACTGCTCTTAAATGATTCCCCCATTTTGCACCCGCATGATAACGTAAGATTTTAAAGATTGACAAATGTTAATCTTCTTGTTTGATAAACTGTTCACTTGAGACAGTCAAGCAAGTCCCAGTGGTGTCTGGGTACAAGTGATAGGATGAACATCCCAGCGGGTTTTCTTCCTACTGGGGGGTGTTATAAATGCTGCTTTGGCGGTGTGTCCACTCGATGGATGAGTGGCGCTGCCCAATAACCTCGCCCCTCGGGGCAAAATTAAAAAAAAAAATTGCTACAATATCTGTAATAATGTTTCATAATATGTGTTATAATGTAACATAATATGTGCTACAATATGTGTTGCAATGTATCATAATATGTGCTACAAAGTGTTGTAATGTATCATGATATGTTCTGCAATATGTATCATCTCATATTATGCGTTGCAATATATCATAATATATACTACAATGTGTCATCTCATAATATGTGCAGTAAAGTATCATAATATATGCTACAATATGTGTCATATCATAATATGTGCTGTAATGCATATTTCAGTTGCTGTAATGTATCATAATATGTGCCGTAATGTATCATAATATATGATATAATACGTACTCACGTGTTCTGAAACATAACACAATAATGTATTTAAGAGGGAAACGACATTTATTTATTTTATGTATGTTACAGTCTTTGGACTTGTGGGCGTTGATGTAGTGACGAGCTTCATTCAACTGATATTGAGCATTATTCTCATCTGTGGCATTTTCAAGGTAAGATTTATATCTATGATGTTATCCTCAGATGGTGTGGCTGTCGCTTAAAGAAATCCATCAAAATACACATTTTGTCGCGTTTGTTTTCTTCTTTTGGATTTTAAGTCCAGTTTATAACATTTTTATTTAATGCAATTTTGTTTCATATCTGTTCACTTTGACATTTATTTTCATTTTTGTTGTAATTTTAATAATGCAAACAATTAGCATTTACATGATTTCTAGATAATAAGCATAGCATGTTATTTAAGGTGTTTCCATGTGTTTTACATTACTGAATTTTGAAAAACAAAAAAAAGACATTAAGCAAACTATTTACTATGAAGGAATGGTAATATGCTGCCGTGGCACATTGAGTGATGTATATCATCACTTGATCAATCAGGTTAAGCATTGCTGTGTCTGGCAAGTAACTGAATGAGTGATCATAATAATATTATTATTATTAGTTCAACTACAGGAACTTAGACGAGTCTACGTCATCTTGATCCCAACAGAGTATGCCCCATACTCTTAACCATATTCATTCACATCCTTACTCATATTTCTAATTCATCATCATATTCATATTTATTCATGTGGGAAAATCTGGCTCCAGAATAGTGCTAATAATATAATATATAATTCGAAGGACCATTCTTATGAAAAGAAAATAAATTAAAGAACCAGTGCCTATGGATCTCTTATATAAAGTGTAACTGAAATTTATTAATGTATAATAAATGAACTGTAGTTTACTGTAAACTATAGAGCCAAATCCTTCCACACACTTTCGTGGGGGGGGGGGAATTAATTGGTAAAGAGAAGTTAATGCACTTCACATAATAAAATAATGAGATGCTAATGCGCATCAATTCATAAATCACATATATAATTAATATGTAGGAATATGATATTATTAAATCAATGAATACAGGCTATCTACAAAAAGGGGAAAACCAGCTTAGCTGTTAGTAGGAACAGTAACATGTCTCGGAAACTCGTAAACTCGTCGCCGTAACCTTGTTTCAGTAGGCTACTCTGGGAACACGTGATCGTTGCAGAAGTTATCGTCTCTTAAAACATATGATTCTACACGTATTCATAGAAATTAATGTGAGGAGATAAGGAGAATGAAACTTACGGGTTTGTTTTATAGGGTATGCGTCATGACGACTAACCGTCCTAACTAACTGATTGAATGTGGATACAAAAATGCAGTAAGGACAAACTGGTTAGCCGGACACGGTGTCTGTGAGATAATGAAGCTGCTGCGTGTTGATGGTGTCCGTAGATGCACGGATGATTATCTATTAAGATGATGATACGCTCAGCCTCCAGACACTCTCCCTGATCATGGCGTCACTTGCCGAGTCCCTCTCCTTCTCTCTCGGGTCGCTCGCGCATGCGCAGTCGTGTTGAGACGCGCTAAATATTTTCTATGATTTATTTAATTTATAGGGTTAATGGAACTAGGGTTTATCAGAAATTACAGAGATTTAATTTGTCTAATTTGACAATATATAAATTCTCGTTTCTTAATCATTAAATGAACGCTATTCGATAGAAGACAGTGCTGGACAAAAATTCAGTCATAAGGGGGCACTCTCGCTCAACGCTGGAGTAACAATTAATAACTGTATGAACTATTACCAGCTAATAAACTATATTGTTTAATCGAATATAAACATATTATCAGCTTTAATTCACCGAGTATATTCATGACAATACGATTATTAAATAATAATTCTCATTAAAGAATGTGAAATAAGGAGAACTTAATACAATTCTCGTGAATGTAAATATTTCCCTATAGTCGTGTGGGCCGATGCAACACCTGACAAAAATTGTTGAGAAATGAGAGGATATTACGCCTTAACAAATTAAACTCAATATTACTAAACTATCTGTTTAGAGTTAGTAAATTATATTACACAGTACAAAAATAGTTTCTTAAGGTACAGAATGTTAGTAATTAAGTGCTGGAAATCTCCAACAATACGTATGCACATATGTTGCTTCCCTTAAGACATCTAGGTGTGTCTGTTGGTTGTACAAACTAAGTAACTGCAGAAGTACACATGTGACTTCTTCTCATGCACGTATATTATTGGGAACACAGACCTGGCCTAGTTGAGGCCCTCCTGGTCCACTGCTTGTATCTGAACTGTCTACCCTGCCTGTAGTGGAGGGCACTCTCGCCCTGCCTGTAGTGGGGGACACTCTCGCCTTGCCTGTAGTGGGGGCACTCTCACCCTGCCTGTAGCGGAGGGCACTCTCGCTCTGCCTGTAGCGGAGGGCACTCTCGCTCTGCCTGTAGCGGAGGGCATTCTCGCCCTGCCTGTAGTGGGGGCACTCTCACCCTGCCTGTAGCGGAGGGCACTCTCGCTCTGCCTGTAGCGGAGGGCACTCTCGCCCTGCCTGTAGTAAGGGCACTCTCACCCTACCTGTAGCGGAGGGCACTCTCGCCATGCCTGTAGTAAGGGCACTCTCGCCATGCCTGTAGTAAGGGCACTCTCGCCCTGCCTGTAGTAAGGGCACTCTCGCCCTGCCTGTAGTAAGGGCACTCTCGCCCTGCCTGTAGTAAGGGCACTCTCGCCCTGCCTGTAGTACTCTCGCCCTGGGCACTCTCGCCCTGCCTGTAGTAAGGGCACTCTCGCCCTGCCTGTAGTAAGGGCACTCTCGCCCTGCCTGTAGTGGGGGCACTCTCGCCCTGCCTGTAGTGGGGGCACTCTCGCCCTGCCTGTAGTAAGGGCACTCTCGCCCTGCCTGTAGTAAGGGCACTCTCGCCCTGCCTGTAGTGGGGGCACTCTCACCCTGCCTGTAGTGGGGGCACTCTCGCCCTGCCTGTAGTAAGGGCACTCTCGCCCTGCCTGTAGTAAGGGCCCTGCCTGTACTCTCGCCCTGCCTGTAGTGGGGGCACTCTCGCCCTGCCTGTAGTGGGGGCACTCTCGCCCTGCCTGTAGTGGGGGCACTCTCGCCCTGCCTGTAGTGGGGGCACTCTCACCCTGCCTGTAGTGGGGGCACTCTCGCCTTGCCTGTAGTAAGGGCACTCTCGCCCTGCCTGTAGTGGGGGGCACTCTCGCCCTGCCTGTAGTGGGGGCACTCTCACCCTGCCTGTAGTGGGGGCACTCTCGCCCTGCCTGTAGTAAGGGCACTCTCGCCCTGCCTGTAGTGGGGGCACTCTCGCCCTGCCTGTAGTGGGGGCACTCTCGCCCTGCCTGTAGTGGGGGCACTCTCGCCCTGCCTGTAGTAAGGGTACTCTCGCCCTGCCTGTAGTAAGGGTACTCTCGCCCTGCCTGTAGCGGGGGCACTCTCGCCTTCTCTGTACCGCCCTTCCTGTGTCTATTTCTATCTAAAAGTATAAGCATACTCCTACCCGTTTCCAAATGTATGTACATGTCTAAATATATTCAGTGTCATTTGACATTCTGACACAACGATCCATTCGAATAGGCGCGTGTTGTTATATACGTACTATATAGATGTCACGTCTGTGACAGGAAAAAACTTTTTTTTTTTAATTTTGATTTTCATGTTTTTCATGTGCGGTAAATCTCCGAAACCTCTTTACCGATTGCTTTGAAACTTTAACACAACATTGCATTCGAATACACCTTTGTTTTTATATACCTATTATGTCGATGTCACGTTTGTGATAGGTAAAAACTTTTTTTTTAAATTGTTTTTCAAGTGAGTTTTCATGTGAGGGAAATCTCCGAAACCTCTTTACCGATTGCTTTGAAATTTTTACACAACGTTCCATTCGAATACGCGCATGTTTTTATATACCTACTATAGAGATGCCACACCTGCGACAGGTAAATAACATGTGTTTTTTTGAAAGAGGGAACGAGGGGATGTTGGGGAGGAAGAGGGGATGGGGGAGTGGGGGATGGTGGGTAGGACGAGGGGACGAGCAGGGGGGGAATAGTGGGAAGGACGAGGGGACGAGAGAGTAGGGGATGGTGGGGAGGACGAGGGGACGGGAGAGTAGGGGATGGTGGGGATGACGTGGGTACAGGGAAGTGGGGGATGGTGGGGAGGACAAGGGGACCGGGGAGGGAGGAATGGTGGAGAGGACTAGGGGAGTGGGGAGTTTGGGATGGTGGGGAGGACGAGGGGAGGGGAGAATGGTCGGGAGGATGAGGGGACGGTGTGGGGAATGGATCTGTAAGATTTATATATATTTAATTTATATGAGTTAATATGGTAATTTATATTTACGTTAATTTATATATATATATCGATAGCAAATTGTATGATGGTGTAAAGTGGACTGTATTTTTTAAAATTCAAACAAATCGACGCCTTTGCACATTATGGGGGATTTATGGTTCACATGTAGTCAACCATTTAAATTATTGGTTAGTAAACATTCACTACAGTATTAGACTACATAGGAAACACTGATGAATAAGCCAGTCGACACACTTTAGGTGTAGCTGCCCTCTAACTTATCAACTGGAGTACTAGATTCCTAGTGTTAATTATTGTTCCTCTTCTGTTCCACCTGTCAAAGAGCACTCACAAATAAAAGCAGAAATACTATATATATATATATACTCTTGGACGACATATTTCAACAATATTAAATTAGAAGAGTATGACAGCTTGCTGAAATCAACACTAGAAAAAGCCCTCAATCTTTCCCTCAGCGACTCACAGTGGAAACAGGCCTCCCTTCCTGTCAGACTCGGGGGCCTTGGCGTGCGCACAGCAACACAAATTGCTGTACCAGCGTTCCTGTCCTCTTCAGTGGGGTCTGACAACTTGGTGAAGGAAATCCTACCTGAGCACCTAGTTCAACAGGCAGGGGTGCATGATCCCAGCTTCACAGACTGCACAACCAAATGGGTCTCTCTCGCAGGACCAGCACCCCAACCACCGCCTTCTGAAGCCCATAAGCAATCCAGCTGGGATCGCCCCATTGCCGACCAAGAAGCTGCAACTTTGCTAGAAGCTGCGACAACACCACATGACACTGCCCGACTTAGAGCTGTAGCAGCTCCCCATGC